TGTTGCATGTCGCTGTTCAACAAGCTAGCCAGTGAACCATCTCGAATCTCAGGCTTCGGGAGTGGTGGCGGTGAACGGTTACCAGCCGGGTCTTGCATCGAAACTTTCCGCAGAATAGCACCCACAACCCGAGTGGCATGTGCTGCGTCTCTGGAAGTGTGCTTTCTTTCTGCCCACATCTTGTATGACGTCCCTAGCGCTTTTAGCTTCCTCGATCTATCCGTCGAACTGTGATATTGTTAGCCGGTAGCTAATAGTGCCACTTGGTTTCAACTTGCCTGCTTGGTAAGTTCTCCGTGAGATCGAGACACAAGATCATCGCCGCAATTAGAAAGTCGTGGAGGGTTAGGGCTGAAAGCATGTATTTATCCTCATATATCCGGCCTCCAGGCCGGCTCTCCCCTTCGTACTCGGCGTGTAGATCTAGGATCCTGAGAGCCGCATCCCGACACGTGGTCCGTGATCGATCGTATAGACTATTGTCCTTCTCCCGGTTAAGATATGGCCGATGTAGCACGCAAAGGCTCTTGAGATACATCATCTCCAACATGAGTCGATGCATAATGTCGTATGTCTGATCCGTGAAACTGTACGTACGTATTGGTCTTATCTGTAACGAAGGGGGAACTTGAGCATGATACTCGTGAATTTCTTCGTCCAGTCTAATAACCTCTTCGTATGGTGGAGGATGTATCGACAGTGCAAAGCGAATCACTCGGCGTAATAGTCGACACAGCTTTGATTTGTAACTTAAGTACAGAGTAGAGGTGGGTTCCGTAGCCGGTCGTGGCGGAGGTAGTGCCACAACGTTCTCGTCAAAGTCGGAATCGAACAGATTAGCAGGCGACTCGGTATCACACTCGTCGTCACGGATAATTGGAGGCATGCCTAGCTGGAACGAGAAAAGGACGTCGAACACCTCGATGAAGAAAAAAGCCCGCCTACGAAGTTCGCCTTCGAAAGGTGTGATGTTAGAGAGATACTTCGGATCTCTATGATACCCCATGCGTTGCGCAAGCCGCGCAGTGAGTCCAAATTTGGCCCATAAACTGGAGTCGATTTCCTTAGATCTTTGTAGCTCCGAATAGCTATGTAAGAGGAGCGCTTCAATGCAGTACGGTTTGGCGGACAAGTAGTCTCCAGACACAAGACACTCAGTTGCCAATAAGTTCAACCTATCAAGTAAGCTTGCCTCAGATTCATCATCTTCGCCTTTCATGCGGGTGATCGATGCAGCAACCCATAACATCGAAGCAAGGCAGCTTATCCATAGCAGGCTCGCAGAAGAAGGATCCTCCCAGAACGCGTCGTACTCTCTTTGGAATTTCGTGGTGTGAATGTATGGAGCCGTCATAAACTTGTGGCGGAAGTAGACCAATATGAGTGCGTCCGTCTTGTTCTTCGGCGGTAATCGCGCGACGGCCTGCGAAATAGTTATGGGCGCAAGCTTGCCAAAGATGACATCTACATTGTCCGAGCTTGCGCAGTCCGGCGGAGGTGACGGGGTAGGAGGCCCATCTGACTCAGTTTGAAGTATGCCTTGAATATCATGAATGCTCTCAAGAATGGAGGCCCAGTGAGTAGCACCGACATAGTTGTGCTCGCCACCAAGAGTGGTGGGGAGAAGCGGACCTCCAGACGTTGTCGCCAGGCTAGGTGGCGAGCTCAAATCGGAGCGAGCCTCGGTAGTTTCTGTTCGCTGGTCCGAGCTTGAAGGAGTATCAAGAGCAGGTTCACGATTGCGCGCAGTATAGACCAGACCGTTGACCATCTCCTCAAGTTTCTGAAGACGGACCTGAAGGACGGGTCTCGACATAGGCTCATGTCTGGACCGGGTATCCACTTGCGGCCGCGAATCCGTGCGCGTCTTGCGAGAAGCACGAGGTGCATACTCGCAGAAGTTTGCTTCCCCACTCTTGACGCATCTTTCACATGGCTGTTGACGGTCGCATTTCACCCTACGAGAGGATAATGAGCGGGGATGAGATTAAGGTGCGATACGATGCGATGCGATGCGACAGGACGGGACGGGACAGGGCATGACTAGGCTGGATGGGCTGGATGGGCTGGATAGGTTGGATAGGTTGGATAGGTTGGATAGGCTTAGGTGGATGAGATAATTGCAAAGAAAGCGGGTAACTACTTACTTGCGTGTCCGACACAGCAGACATGAGACGGGAGGACGATTGCGCTTTTGGATCTTTCGTTGAAGTCCCTCGGTCGGCTGTGCTCTAAAGACACTTGTCTGGTAGCTGCCGGGCCGGGAGTCCATCGTGGTCCGGGTAAGACTTATTAAAAGACGGAACTGACTTGATTGAATTTCGGTCGGAAATAACCTCAGCTTAAACGCCTTCAAGCCTTAAGCCTTAAGCCTCAGTGACAGACAAGTCAAAATGAGACCAGGGAATACTTCCCCTCTCAGCGCGCGCGCCCTTGGTTGATGAGGACTTAAGAATATACCTGATTGAGAAGAAGTCCGGTAGTACGAAGAAAGCCGAGAAGTGAGAAAAAAAAGTATAAAAATTATAATTAAAAAAAAATATTATTATTACCGTAACCTACGAAGGGTTCATGAGCTACTAGGTAGGATATGGATGGATTGGATGGATGCTAGCAACCTGCAGACTAGGTAGGTTAGGTACCTATGTATGAGATATGAGATATGGGATTGGCTTAGGTGATAAATTAACCTTGACCGTTGACTTTTGGTTCTTGGATTCGTCGGAAACAAAGCCATCCGCCTATCCGGGAGGGAGAAAAAGCACCACCCTAACACAGTAACACCCTAGGAAACTCCGTTGCGGCTTCCCACTCTCCCACTCCCACGCTACATGCATGTACATACCTACACTCTGCCTGTCTGCCACTACATCATCCCTACCACATGTGTATTGTACATAATGTATGCGTGGTAAGTGCGAGAGGTAACGGTTTCTTGGCTCTACTATGCACCCCAACGCCCAATAGCAAGAGTCTTGGCATTGCCGATTGGGAACCTATGACCGACGGAGTTTCTTCGGCTGGATTTAAAGATAGGTCCTAAGATGGCTCCCCCATTTCTAAAACCATAAATCCGTTCCCCTGCTTCACCTATCTCTCCTTTTTCAATGTTTCTTTCGGGAGTTATTTTTAAACCTACGGCAATATCAAATCAACGGCCATACCTCCGGTCATAAGATTTGGAATTCGATATTCAATAACCGATCCAATCTTCGCACTTATGCGACTACTTAACCGATACTTAATCTACCATTATAACGCGATCTGTTATATCTATATGCGTCGTAAATCGAAGGTGAAGTCGTGACTAATGATTATCCTAATGGGGTATCTCTTAGCTCCTAGTTTTTGAAATCGGAATATAATCAGTAATCTATTACCTATCTAACCCACATGCCTAGGGACCTAGGGTAGCTCAACATGCTCAAAGTTCGCAGCTCTTCAACCCCTATTGCTTACGAGACAAGAAAGAAACGGAATAATCTTACTTGCATCTTTACCCAACCTAAAGACTCAGCCTAGGCTTTAATGTCCAATCTCGAATCCTCGTTTAGTATTACTCGGCGTCAGCCATCTTCCCTTCTCGTTATGAATCTTCTCTTCGTAGCTTACTACGGTTAAGATACAAGCCCGGGCTAAGAAAGCCTAGGTCCGATAGTCGCGGTAGTTGAAATCTTCCCCGGCAGTATTCATTCCGACTATGGCTCTCCTTCACATCCGGTTCCCTATTCCGAATTTACCGGTCTCCGGCATCTCCGGTAATAATACTATTGGCCCGGACTACTCCAACCGGCGCAGTGGTACATAGGATAACGCAGACAGCATTAATAAATCATATGAGCGTCCCAACAATACCCTGAAGCCAAGATTACCTCTGAGATTCACTGCATGATTTAAAAAATCCGTTCGACCATAAGTCCAATGGGCCGTGGCGTTCAAGTCTACCACTCCGGCCGTCAAGGAAAGCTACGGGTTTGCCCCAGTGATGCCACCGCATAATGTACCTGGATCTTTAAAGCCGAGACATGCACCTGAGTGTAGAGCGGCAAATGACAGACCACATATTTGTCATGCATCATGTGGGCTGAAAGGGGGGAGGCGAATCATCTTGATTTATCACAGTTGAACAACCGCCGCATTTATACGGCGTACGTTTTCGCAATATGAATTGTATCACCCTTATATCGAAACATCCCACATCGAACGTCCTGCAACTCATCAGTCATCTTTCAATTAGACCCCCTAGATTACATCGGCGTAATTTGCATTTGCTTTTCACCATACCTGAGGGATAGTTTCTCATATTGTTCAACATTCAAGGTTCCCATGACCTCTAACATGTATTAGTTTTGTCTCTTTGCCTGGTGCAGTTTACCGCCGGCACTATAGCAATGCTCGCTTAAGCAAGGTGCCCAGGTCGATTTTGTAATGTAACGACGTGTCCCGACCAAACTCCCATCACCTTCGGGTGTCGTCGAATCATCGTAGTTTATTAAACGCCTGTCAAAAGCCGAGAAAAGAGTTAGCCTCTTGGATAAACCTACCTCGATTTGAACCCCCTTTTTAACTACCTCGATACCTAATCAGGGGAATTCAAAGGTGTCACTTTATCTACTATACACGGGGGATATGCACTGCCCATGCAATACTTGGGGTTAGTTATGAGGCTCTCTTCGAGGGTCCGTCTATGTAATCAGGAATTGTTGACGCCATCCCTTATGAAATGCTCCGACTACGGGCGGGAACATAGACACCATCCAGAGTGATTAATAATAAGGGGTGGTATTCGGGTTTAAGAAGAACCTCGCTTCGGTGATTAGGTAATAAAATCCTGCTATGTATGACTACGATCTCTTTACCTTATCGTGTGGTCGTTTTCGAATACCTATTAGTTCACTACCTAGGTAGGTAGTTATGTGGTATCTTCTTGCCACCAACGTGAAAATTTTTCCACCTGTTTTGGAGGGGGTGGAACAAAAAAATAAAAAAAATTGTTCAATCGAGCTCAGCAGGGATCGAACCTGCAATCTTTAGAGGCCATCTACTTGTGAATAGAACCGAAATCTAACGCCTTACCATTAGGCCATGAGCCCGGTGTGATATGGAAATTTCAAACTGTAAGCTTAACTATTATAGCTATAGAAAGTGGATACCAGCCTTAACTTGAAAACTTTTCTAAGTGGATATGAACGAGTCATGATGTTTAACATGTTCAACATATCGTATAAAATGGGCAGTTTCTAACCATCAATTGATTCGGGTATGTTTAACAATATTTAGGTGATATAACTGTAGTTAATCCCGAACGCATACTTAAGCCACTGGCATGCGTAAGCTACACGGCTATAATTCACATCGAATTTTTTTCTATCCATTCATATAAGACAATCAGGTGAAGCTTGCTATGTCGCCTATTCTTTTCGCGGCACTGAAGAAGCAGAACGGTTTTAAAATAGTAGTCATGTACTGACAGGCATTTTCAGAAGAACCCGGGGTTGATACCCATTGCTTTAATCTATAGAACAGTAAGGCACATCATAAAAAAGTGTCACAATGTAAACCTAACAGATGGAGAAACAACTATGTTGTTGCGCAAGGAGCTTTAACCCCTTGTGCCTACTAAGCGCGGTATACATACCTAGGTACGCAGCGTGCCCTTTGTCTGCTCTATTCCAGGGCTAGCCCTAATGGCCCCCTAGGGGCTGAGCTCCCATCCCGCCGGGTCTTTAAACTAGACCTCAAGGCTATCCTCCTAAGGGAGCGAGGCATAGCAGACAGAGAAGACCTCTGACAAAATGTACGGAAAGGGGCATTGCGATTCAAAGAGATTACTAGGGAAAACATAGAATCGGCTTAGGTAGATCCTTGGGTCTTGGTCTTAGAAACAGCAAGAGCGTGGACTAGCTCTCGTCGTTTTACAGCCATGCAGGGAGATCGTTGCACCTAACTAGATCTCAGTTTCCCAGGTTGACACCTTGATTTTCGGCTTAGATAGATCTATGCGATTTAATAGGTTGGGAGGCCAATGACTAATTCGCTTTCCCAAGTTAGAAATCCCAGCATTATCAGTCGTACTAAATATCTTGGGATTTATGAACATTAGTGAGATATCTCGTGGGATCTGAAACATGAAACATAATGCAAGGCATGACACAGTTATTAGCAGTCTTATTAAGTGTAGTCGCATATTATAATAGCAGTTTGAATCTGAAAATTCCGAGAAATGCCGTCCGATAGCAACGTACCACCTAAATAGCTTTATTTTTTCAAGGGGGAGAAGAGGTAAAAGGGGTAAATAACACTACAATCAGCATCACCATAAAAAAGGGGATTGATGTACCTACCTACGGCAATCTAAGGTTACTTGATTCAACTATAACTAATGTAATGAAAGCTACTTAATCTACTGAAACCAATTCGAATAAAATATTCTTATGGATTCAACGCAATCAATCCGAGCCTTGAGACAATCCATGTCATATTTTAAGCCACATCAATTATTAATAACATATGTAACTTATAGAGCTGTACAAGTTTGAAGCATTAGATATCTTGGGCATTGGTTTTTTTAGTTTGTTTGAAAGTGAAGTAATGTTCCAATCAACATAGATGGGATTTATCTTTACCTTGAGCGCAGATGAGACACATATTTAATTACACCCCTTGTTGTTTACCTATAAACTTGATAATTACCTAAATGAGAGTCATAGCATAGATGAATATTTAATATATTTAATATAGCTAGGTAGTTAGTTGTATATCACTAATAGCTTATTTCTATGATTCTGCTTTTAAGCAACCTAGGATGTGTTCGATAAACTCACTTCTGTGAAAGGATTAGATAAGAAATAATATCAACTTGAAATCGTTCCGGAAATTTGCGTGAGTATTTGTTTTGAATAATTGTTTAGGAGGTAGGTATGCAGATGCCTTTAATGATCTTATAACTACCTAGACTAAACATTTTGCGTTATGAACCTCATTCACTAGGCAGGCAACTACTAGACAAAGGTACATATAAAATCTAACTCCCTATATCACATAATAGCACAATATGGGCGGTAAGAATCATTGGGAATTTTCGATCATCCCAAGTAGAGCGTCACTTGAAGGAAATTTTGGTTTCCTGGACGCCTTCATGGAACTAAATGTAAACGTGAAAGATATTTGAAAATCTTACTCTATGAGTTTGATAGGTATGCTCAACTTGCAAGTTACATAGAATATTATAGCAAGTAGGGTTAACATACATTGCCTGCCCGGTTCTCGTGGAAAAATTGCCTTACTAAAATTTCTCAAAAGTATTCTCGACAACCGCTTTCTTGAAAAGCCATATATTCAACACCTCAACCCTTTCATTATAGATGATACGCTCTTCTCTGTTCACCGTAACTATAAACCTGAGTATATGAATATGAGGGACTATTGCAGCCTACCTAGGCTTGTGGCAAATGATAACTCCTATTTCCTGTGTGACTAAGAATAGATTGTTACAGATAGCTGATTAAACGGATCTATTCCTGGCACATTGGTATTGGTAGTTGGTATTCTAACAAGTGTAATAGTTTTAGGTTTCGAAGCTATCATGGATACGGAAAAGGGGTAATCGTTGAAGGCGGCTACGTCCTGCATTCGGAGTACCCGGGATATCCTACAATACCACCCAAATTGCTCTATGTAATTTCCCAGGTAGGAGTGTATCATTGAAGATGGTCGAGTAAGGCTATTGGTATTTTCAGCGTATGATGTTATAGGTTCTCCCCAAACACCCTGAGTATGGTGATGTATATTCTATTTCTATCATATTATAAAAGAAATGAGAAAAAAAGGTCGAACTTCTATATCCTCTTCTACTCCATTGGCTGATATGTAGGAAAGTTCGTCTATCTAATGACTTTATCCCACTTGGTTCATGATGAGTGATAAAGAGGTTATCGTGTTGGTTACTCGCGTAACTTCGGAGATAAGTTACTTCGAGTTTGAAACGCGCTTACGAGATTATCAATGAGCGCCCCGATAGTAATTGCTTCATTCGAAATAGACTGGGTATTGATACGACCTTGCTTCTATTGACTAGCGTGAAGTCCGTTGACGATCTAGCCGCCGCGAAGTAGTAACGTGAAAAGGAGAGATGAAACATGAAACAACAGAGGACTATAGTTGGGAATGAGTGAGGGAATAACTGCTTCTATTGGTTGAGAAACGGACCGATGAATGAAACAAGGGCAGTAGTCTAGATATTTGATTACAATCACAATGGCTCTAGTTGAGAGCGCTAAGGAGAGTTATAGGCCAAGGTGATCATCTTATACAAGGGGTGCTCTAGAAACCAAAGAAGCTAGAGATGTTTTTTTTCAAGAGGTGACGTCTAAATTAACACTTGCAGTTCGCGAGTGCTGCATATTGAGGCTATATCTTAATTTAGCAATCTCCCTAAAAATAGGTACCCTAGTTGATCCTCGTGGTACCAAAATTTCCCGAGTTAGATACGTCATGAGAAGTAGCTGGGGCGTGGTCGCAAGGGAGTTTGGGGACGATCTGAAGGCCGTTGGGGCCCCGAAGCTTAACGCTGCCTTGTACTGTCAGGTACACCAATAGGGGCGATGTGATAACAGAACACACACGTGCAGTGTACCATCTACCTAGCAGTTGGAAATATCGCGTACATCTTTGGAGCGCGCCAGCGTTAAGGTACCCGCTGTAGACATGGTATACTCTCCAACTACATGACATTGATTGCCGCAGGTGACCTAGACAAACGTTAACTTGCGAACTAAGGTCATTTTCAAGGCTCGTGAGCGCTTCTGGAAGTTGGTAAACGTAGGGATGATGCTCTGCTAATGCCGCCTGATGCCGCTGGGTAGGATACGGCTTGCATGATGGCGGCGAAACGCCCGGTCTTCTGGCTTCCCCAGACTAGAATGCCCAACCATGGAAGTAGGGTCGTAGTGCCACCTTGGTGCCTTGCAGGAAGGATCACGATAGCAGTAGCGGTAGCGGCAGCGGCAGCGGCAGCGTGGAGGAGGGTAGCACGGGTAGATTTCCTGCAAGTGATCTGGGACAGAAATAGATTTAAACGCCCGACTCGCAGAAAGACGTTGGTGGAATGCAAAGAAGACGCAGAAGACGCCGCGACGTTCAATTACGTGCATGGGAGAGAGAAAGGTTCTCGAACACGTTGTGATGCCCTGGCGCTTAGATGTTATCGCCGGGCGGCTATTCGTGATTGGCGACTTGTCATTGGTCATTGGTCATTGGCCAGACGGGAAGTTGGTAGACTGTTTTTGATTTGAGAGCGGTGTCATGGGGATCTGGGGTAGGTAATTTTTAGAACTTCTCACCTGTAATTTTGAACTTGGAGAAAATAAGAAAAAGAGAAAGAAGGGAGCATCGCTGGTTCCTAGAGGCAATCGTGGTTAGTTTAAATTCGCGAGAATGAGGCTCAAAGACTGTCTGTCATTGTTTATGTTTAGGCCGACCCCTGAAGTGGCCCCTAAAGTTGACCCGAAGCACTGAGGTCACTAACACTAAACAAAACTACTATTGAGTTTAGCGCGAATGGATCATGTGACTGTCATGACAGGTACATGATGAGTGGTATAAATTTTGGAAGTACATAGGTACTTATGGATTCTGATACATATGGCAGTTACATTCTAAAGGTTCGAAGCTGCAAAATAGAATAGGAAATACCACCTTCAGCTGGGTAGCTAGGGTATGCTAACCTTGTCGTCATTGACGAACCCTAGACGTTAGATTGGAGTTTTCAAGGTTCAAAGGTAAGCTGTTACTGACATCAGCCACGGGAACATAATGTTTCCAATCATTCCCACTATATTCTAAGGTGAGATCTTTATCAACCAACATCGTTAATAGTTAATTCATCGTGCTGCACCAACATTATCATCATCTTCGTGTTATCCGTTGATTACCTACCTACATGCCACAAGGATGTCAAGGTTGTTAAATACATACATACATACCTATCTACCTACTCAATGCCTAGCTTTCCTTTTGTTTCGGGCGACGTGGTCTGCGTGGTCTAGCTTGCGACTGCGACTTGCGACTTGTCATATTATTGTAAGCCTGCTTA